CCTGGGGGCCCTTAGCACAGGGATGCTGTTCAGTCTTATACTCCATTCGTCACTGCCCAGTGCCAGGCCACCCTGTGGAAAATGCCTGGCAGCTCTGGGATGCAGAGGGAGAAGCCAGGCCAGGACTCAGGCTGTCCTTCTATTCATCCATTCCCTGCCAGGACATACAGCAGCTCCTCCAGCTACAGCAGCTCGTGCTTGTGCCGGGTCACCACCTCCAGCCACCTGCTCAGTTCCTGCTGCCACAGGCCCAGCCGACTCAGCCAAGTAAGGCCCCCCCACAAGATGGCCTCCCTAATGCCTCCACAGGACTCTCCCTGCCCCCTCCATCACCTTGTGCATTTCCCCTTGTCTCCCCAGGCCTGCTACCAACACCAAATCTATTCCAGCTACCTCAGCAAACCCAGGGAGCTCTTCTGACCTCCCAGCCCCGGGCTGGGCTGCCCACACAGGTGAGAGTGACCACCAACTGCCCCAGGGTGGGCCAGCAGCAGGGCCTGCTGGAGGCTGGGTAAAGAGGGATGTGGGGGTGAAGGTCTCCTCTCCAACTGATCCACCCCACAGCCATGGGGGCCAGGACAGGAGTAGGGAGACCTGGGGCCAGTCTGCTCTGCCACTAATTGGCCCCTTAGGCAAGCCTCTCTCCCTGTCTGGGTCAGCTTTTTCCTCTGTAGGATGAGGGGAGTCAACCAGACCAGTGGTTCTTAACCCCTCAGACCCATGAACTCCTTTGAGAATCTGACAAAGGTTTGTATCTGACCCTATGGACCCAACAAGCACACATGCACAAACACACAAACAGCCCGTATATTACAAATGCTCTGGGTCCCTTCCAGGACTCCAAATGGAGGGTACACTGAGGAAGATGTCTGCTTGGTACTGATTCACGTCCCCTTCCAAGACTGGATACTGAAAATGGGGGCCTACAAATGCATTTTATTCAGCCCATACCATATTTTAAAAATTGAATTAGTTGTCAACAAAATACTCAGAAAACACCAGCTTCCCAGCTTCTCTTGACAAACCAGAAGCTCTGACAAGGCTGGATCTTCATCCCCATGACACGGTTGCAGTGGGCTGCTGGCTGCTGGTTGGAGCAGGATTCCCCTCACACAGGGCATGAACTCTCCAGACCACCTCGGCGTCCTCCTGCCTGGCCCTTGTGACCTTTCTTTCAGCTTTCTGACTGGGGTCTAGACTTTAAAAATAATCCTTTACCGTCCTTTACAGATTTCAGAGTTCCCTCCTACCATTTTTTTTTAGCAGCCCCTTCAAAAAATACATGAACTATTTCATGTATTTCAGAAGACCCAAAAAGTTTAGAGGCTAATACAGAACTTAGCTGCAATTCTGAAATCCAGAATGTTCAGAAAATCAAGTTGTTATTGTAATGCAGGTACCAGAAGTCATTTGGCTTCAGAGCTGAGGCAACGCAGCAAATGACTTTTCTTTATTCTTTTTGTGTGTTATCAGTGTGTTGCTGAGAGCTGTTAATGTGCCCAATTATGGGGTGATGCCTTGACCCTGATGGGGGGGTCACATTACCTATGATATATGCCCCATGTAATCTTCTAAAATCTACAAAATTTTGACATTCCAGAACACATTTGGCCACAGGGTTTTGAAAACTGGATCAAGGACTTGTGTGACCAACATCCCTGCATCCACCACCTGGTTCAGATCTTTTATTTTTAGGGAAATTAAGCATTCCAGAGGGAACTCTTGCTTCCTTGTAAATCCTAATAGCCCATGTATTTTTAAAAGTACTTTTAGTTCATTTGCGACCTACTCATCTTTACTCAAATCTCCCAACAACCCCATGGGGTAGGCAGGGCAGCCATGATTGTTCCCATACTGCAGACAGGGAAACTGAGGCCCAGGGAGATTAAGAAATTTGCCCGGAGTTAACCCAGCAATTCGACAGCAGAGCCAGTTCTTGAATCTCTGACTGAGAGGAGGAGCCCCCAGCTCTAGGAAAAGAGCCCTTGGTGAAAGGAGCTGACTGCCCCTTTTGGGAGTTTGGAAGTTGGGAGGGATGTGCGGAAAGAAATGAGAAGACCCTTGTGGAGCAGGAGAGTGTCATCTTGATTGGACTGACAATGAGCCCGGAGGAGACTCTTGGGGGCAGGCGGAGGGGAGTCTGCAGGAAGAGCCTGAGCAGCAGGGAGGGCGGGTGGGAGAAGGAACCGCGCAGCCTTTGGTGAGCCCCATCCAGGTCCTCGGTCCTGTATCCCACCACCTGCCCACCCCACCAGGCCGTGACCCGCCCCACGCTGCCAGACCCGCACCTCTCGCACCCGCAGCCCCCCAAATGCTTGGAGCCACCATCCCACCCCGAGGAGCCCAGTGATCTAGAGGAGCTGGAGCAGTTCGCCCGCACCTTCAAACAAAGACGCATCAAGCTGGGCTTCACGCAGGTCTGCGGCCCACCGGCAGGACTGGCTGTGGGCGTGGGGGTGGCGGGCGTGACCAGGCGCTGGACCAATGGGCGTGGCCATATAATGGGCGGGGAGAAGGGTGTTACCTCTAGTGGGCGGGGCCATCTGGTGGGCGGGGGTGTGCCAATTGCCCGAACCCTCAGTCTTGACCACCACCCACCCCTTCCTGCCGCACGGGCCCAGGGTGACGTGGGCCTGGCCATGGGCAAGCTGTACGGCAACGACTTCAGCCAGACGACCATCTCTCGCTTCGAGGCCCTCAACCTGAGCTTCAAGAACATGTGCAAACTCAAGCCACTCCTGGAGAAGTGGCTCAACGACGCAGGTGGGACTGGGCTGGGGCACCACCGCGGGCGGCGCGCGGCGGGGTCGGGGAGGCGCCCGCTCATGCCCTCGTGTCCCCGGGCACAGAGACTATGTCTGTGGACTCAAGCCTGCCCAGCCCCAACCAGCTGAGTAGCCCCAGCCTGGGTTTCGACGGGCTCCCTGGCCGGAGACGCAAAAAGAGGACCAGCATCGAGACAAACGTCCGCTTCGCCTTAGAGAAGAGTTTTCTAGCGGTGAGGTCCCGCCTCCTGGGCGGCCCTGAGGGCTGGCGGGCGGATGGGCCCGGGCTAACAAGCCCTCTGCCTGCAGAACCAGAAGCCTACCTCAGAGGAGATCCTGCTGATCGCAGAGCAGCTGCACATGGAGAAGGAAGTGATCCGCGTCTGGTTCTGCAACCGACGCCAGAAGGAGAAGCGCATCAACCCCTGCAGCGCAGCCCCCATGCTGCCCAGCCCGGGGAAGCCGGCCAGCTACAGCCCCCATCTGGTACCAGGAGCCCCTCTGGGGGTGGGAGCATAAAGCTCCGGTACCCCCGACCCCCAGCAACCTTGCCCCTCGGCAGGCACCTTGTGTGAAGCACAACTTACCTGGTTGTCCCCTGTGCCTAGAACAGAAGCAGGGAGAGTCACCCTTGGGGACAGTGACACATGAGTGAAGCAGTCACACAGGGGCAGAGTTTCCAGGCAACTAGGGGTCTTATGTGGGGGACGCAAGCACCCACGGACACACACTGGCAGAGCCAGTTATTACCAGATGTAGCCATACGCGGGTGGGTATCGGGGAATAGAGGCCCCCCCCCACAGGTTCACAACCACAGACACAGGTAAGGACATCATCACACCCCTGGGTGTGCGCTCAGGTTCACAGCTGTACCCAGACACACTGGGTCATCCCTATATTCCATCTAGTGTGGAAAGAGTGGTGATGCTGAGGAAGGGAGTGAGGGCCCAGTGGAGCCCCCACCCCCTGGTGTGGAGGAAGAAGGGACCATGTGAGCTGAGTCCACAGGAGTACCTTGGGGGCTGCTGGGAGAGGGTGGCCTAACCATGCCTTCCTTCCTCTCTTCCCAGGTCACACCCCAAGGGGGTGCCGGAACCTTGCCGTTGTCCCAAGCTTCCAGCAGTCTGAGCACAACAGGTCAGGGAGGGCAGAAGCTGGTAGGGGTGGGCTGGAAGAACACAGAGCAGGTCTGGGGTTCTCGAGTGGCCCAGGGCTTCCATGGGCCTCAAGACTGCACCTGGGGATAAGAGGAAGGGGACGGAGAGGGCAAGAGAGGGCAACTCTACCCCACCAGGCTCAGCTTTCTCGGCTCCGTGATTTCATATGAGCAAAGCGTAGAGTGGCTGAAAGGCAATGTACGTGGATTCTGTTCCTGGCATTTGTGAATTGTATGAACTCCAGAAGAGACTACCTCTCTGAGCCTCAGTTTTTATAGAATTTAGGTGAATGTATAATAATAATACAGAAGTTGTATGTGTGAATACATACACGTATATATTGGTATCCAAAGCCCTTCTTTCCCCCTTTCTGAGAGGGTGTGTTTAACACCACATACAAGAATAATATAAAACAAACACCCATTGTTCATCCTCAGATTAAGAAATAACTGATTTATAAAGTAGGAAGTGTGTGCCTGGCACTATTCTAAACTCTAAAGAATGTCGATTTATTTAATCCTCACACCCATTTCACGAGGTAGGTTATATTATTATCCCCACTTTCCAGGTGAGAAAACTGAAGGCCAGAGAGGTGAAGGCACTTGCCCAACGGCACAGCTGGGACCCAACAAAGCCCAGAACTGCTGTCCAGGCTTTTGGCCCCTGAATCTTGCTTGGTTCTGAGCTCTCACCTGCTCAGCGTGCACAGCCGCACTGCCCTATCTTGCCCCTAGAGGGAGCCACAGGGCTTTGTCTTCTGGGCACCCCTGGTTCTTGTCTGTATAAAAGGAGCCAGGCAGTGAAGGTTCAGGGTGGGGTCTCGGGGTGTGCATGCACAGGGGCACGGGGCACATATCTAGTAGGTGGCAGCTACTCTTACTGAGATTATGTGACTGCTGTTATATGGCATAAGCACAAAGAAATGGCCGTGGGAAGAGAGGGCAGGAGGCCTGAGTCTGTTTTCATGGAGGAGATACTGTGGGACAGGGTGGGGAAAACAAGCAGGAACTGGCCCTAGGTTCCTTGGTGGAGGACAAGTGGAAGCTGAGGTCTCCATCTCTCTGTCTCTCTCTGGCAGTTACTACCTTATCCTCAGCTGTGGGGACGCTCCACCCCAGCCGGACAGCTGGAGGGGGTGGGGGCGGGGGTGGGGCCTTGCCCCCCCTCAATTCCATCCCTTCTGTCACTCCCCCACCCCCGGCCACCACCAACAGCACAAATCCCAGCCCTCAAGGCAGCCACTCGGCTATCGGCTTGTCGGGCCTGAACCCCAGCACGGGGTAAGTGGGCAGCTTCAGGTGGGGAGGCTGTGGGAAAAATCAGGGTCCTGCTGCTTCTAGGGTGGGGAGCTGTGCCCCAGTACTTCTGGCAGGTCCCCGCCCCTGCTAACGCCCCTGCTTTGCCTCTTGCAGAAGCACAATGGTGGGGTTGAGCTCCGGGCTGAGTCCAGCCCTCATGAGCAACAACCCTTTGGCCACTATCCAAGGTGCGTGCTGCCTCATGTCACTCCCATTGTCACCAGCCCAGCCCCTGGGGCCTCGAGCCCCCCCATTGCTGCTCCAGCCATGCCATCCTGCCCCTGCTCACTGCATTGCTCAGCTCTTCATACACATCTCACCTTTGGGGAAGGTGTGAGGGGTGCTGATGGGGGTCCGTGGGGCCAGCGGGAAGCCAGGGAGCTCTGTGGGCAGGACGCCGGAAGGCGACCCCCCCCCCAGCCCAGACTCTCTCTTTCCCCACCAGCCCTGGCCTCTGGTGGAACCCTGCCCCTTACCAGCCTTGATGGCAGCGGGAACCTGGTGCTGGGGACGGCCAGCGCAGCCCCCGGGAGCCCCGGCCTGGTGACCTCACCGCTCTTCCTGAACCATGCTGGGCTACCCCTGCTCAGTGCCCCGCCTGGCGTGGGCCTGGTCTCAGCAGCTGCTGCGGCCGTGGCAGCCTCCATCTCCAGCAAGTCTCCTGGCCTCTCCTCCTCTTCCTCCTCGTCCTCGTCCTCCACTTGCAGCGAGGTGGCAGCACAGACCCCTGGAGGCCCAGGGGGGCCCGAGGCAGGGTCCAAGCCTGAGTGAGGGCCCGTCATGCTTCTCCTCCTACTCCTCTGAGCCCCGCCTCAGCCCCCAGCCTGGGAAGATGGCAAGGGGACCAACGGTGGGGGTGCAGAGGGTCCTCGGAGCAGGAGTGACAAAGGAGGAAAAACCAAAAAAACAAAAAACAAAAAACCCAACCAACCAAAAAGAAAAAAGAAAGAAGAAACCAACCAACAAAAGAAAACCAAAAATAATCACAACAGAAACCAGCTGTCCCAAAGGAACCAGAGGTGAAAAACAAAAATAACCAAAAACAAACAAAAAATTCCCCCACCAAACCAAACCAAAAACCAGTTGCGAGCCAGACCTCAGTGTGCTCACCGCTACGACACCAAATAAGAACCCCAGCCAGGGGCAGAGAAGCCTCAGCAGGGTGGACCTCATGCCGAGCCCCTGGCTGTGGGGCCAACCCCAACCTTGCCTCCCCCCGTGGGGGCCAGAGAAGGAAAAAGGGAATGTGCCAGCCTCCTAGCCCCAGCTCCTAGCCCTGGGCCAGCGAAGACAGGGCCAGCGTGGGGCCGATGGGGTGGCTCAGAACCATCCTTCAAATGTTCTTTTCCAGAAGGTTAAAGAGAAAGGGCCTGAACAACCTTACACCAAATATTCAGTAGCTTCATCCAAAGGATGTACAGAATTTTTAGCATTGTGCTCAACAGAATGTGTCCCTACCATGTGTCCCCGACCTCCCCTGGCCCCCAGCTCTCCCCACCTGGGCAGGTGGTCTTGCTTTAACCTCTTTCCTCCCCCAGCCAGGGGAGAGTTCAGTGGCAGGCCTGGGATGACTTTGCACCCCTATACCTCCCCCTTTCCCTGTGAAGGGTGGGCTAGGCTGTTTTTCCAAGTTCTAGCTCTCACATGTCCTCCTCAGTCCTGTCACCATCCTCTGCTCTGGAATCTATCCCCCTCCCCAACCTATGGGGAGGTGGAAGTTCCTGGCAGGAGGGGATGACTTGAGGGCATTCAAGCTTTTTTTCCATCCTTGTCTGTCAGTTTCCCTGAAAAAAAAAAAAAAAAAACTCATATTCCAGTGCCTATCCGTGGGATCCTTCACGTTCTTTGACATTGACCAGAAACCAAAAAGAGAACTCACCTCTCTTCCAACCCTGTGCCCCTCTGATACTGGTGGATGCCTCCCCCCTACCATGCACACACACACACACACACACACACACACACACACCCAATGGTGGGGTTCCTCCAGGTGGTGTCCCCATCAGGGTCCATGTGGTGGGGACAGTGCCATGACCTGTGGTCCCCATCCAAGAGGGCACTGTGGTGGCCACCACTCCCATGAGAACTCCGTGGAGTTGTGGCTGGACCCTGTGATGCCCAGCTCTGGACACACCTCGACGGACAGAGGAGAGGTGCCGCTGGGAGCCACTTTGCCCTCCTACAATTGTGGAGGCCAACAAAGTTTGAACCAAAAACAAAAATACCAAACAATAAATTAAAACTAGAAAAGAAAAGAATTTATAGATATATATATATTTAAGGGAAAGAAGATGAGGACTCTTCAAGAATAAGGAGGAGCCGCAAGGCGGAGCCAAGCCCCTGCACCTGTGGTCCAGGCCCTTGGTCCCCCAGTCGGATGGAAGGACGGATGCTTCTTTCTCTTCACAAATACCTCATGGACGTCGTCTTCGGGAAAGCTGGAGGGGTCGGCTGGGGCAGGGCCTGTCCCTCAGCCAGGGTGGATGGGAGCGGGTGGGCAGGGCCGAGAGGGTGTCAGGGACAGGGGTGAAGAGCCCAGCTCCCTGCACCCCAATCAACTGAAAAAGCTTTAAAAAAAAAAACAGGAAAAACAAGAATAGGGAAGCAAAAAGAATGGACAAAGGAAAACAAACTTTCGGGTGGTTTGATTCCTCTGATTTCTTTTTCTGTTCTTTTCGGTCTGTCCTCTCCCCTCTGCTCCCTCTTTCCCTCTCCCTCGCTCGTCCCGCCCCTCTCGATATAGTACTCTCAGTGTCTCTCCTCAAACCAAAGTGTTGCTGTGAAGGACGCGAGCCATGGAAAGCAGAGCGGCCCTGTGGCCGCTGGGCGGAGCAGGGGAGCCTGGACCCTCCCAGGAGAGGCAGACACAGCTCGGACGCCACCCTGGGCCCTGGGGCCTCAGCGTTCTTTTTTGTCTCCCTTCTCCCACCCGGGAAATGGAACTGTTGGGCTGGGCCGTGGAGGCAGCAGAGACTCGGCTGTTTCGGGGATCTCGGGGTGTCTGCCCCCCAACATTGGCACCTATGGGACCTGGCATGCCGTCGACCCAGCCTTGCCAGAATGTAAGCATCTCCGCCGAACGACTCCCTGCCCTGACCCTACCTCTGAGTTTGTCCATTTTTATTTCTTGAAGAGAAGGGACTGGCGAGAGGGCCTGGGCCTCAGCCTAAGGGTGGAGAGGCAGCCAAGGGCTCCTGAACAGCTAGGAAAGATATTTGAGCAGAGCAAAGTGAAAGGAATTACAACCAAAAACCCCTCCGAGAAGACAGGAAGCATGGAAGGCATGGTGGAGATGACTCAAACAAAAACTATGATCCTAGACCAAAAAAAAAGAAAGAAAAAAAGGAAAGAAAATCCAGGACTCATCACCACCCACTTCATCCTGCTTTCTCCTCATCGAGTCCTGTCCCCCCCACCTCTCCCTCACCCCAGTGGTGTTGGGGGGAGGGCAGGGCAGATAGGATGGGAGGAATCGGGGGCAGGGATGGGGCCGATGCCCTGACATTGGTGGAGGGAACCCCATGCAGCCAGGGGTGGTGGGGACCCTCCCCATCCAATCCCCATAACTGGGAAAAGGAAACAAGAAAAATGAAAATTCCTGGGAGGGGGAAAAATAACCAAATCCCAAGCTTTAACTACAGCTGTGAAACCAAATATTGGGAAGGGGGTGGGAGGGAGGGAGGGGCAAGTGTGCCCCAGGTCTCCCTCCTGGGCCCCCCTCCCCCGAGGACTCGAGATAAGGCACCAAATACCTCATAGAACTTTAATGTTAAAAAAGGAAACCAAATATCGTTGGCTGGGGGCCAGCCAGGGCAAGGGGCTGGGGGGCTGGAGGGAGCCAGGGTTGGGAAGGTGACGGGGGAATTCATGTCCCCCACCCCACTCTGCCCCTTTCACTCCAGTACCCCGGTCTCGACTCCGGGAAACAAAACTATCTCATCGTTTTTATTTTGTGGTCTGTGCAGAGCCTGTGTCCGTGTGTCTGTGTGTGAGCGAGAGAGAGCTAAGGGCTGGGGAGGGAGACCCAGGCCGGGCTCTGGGCTAGCTGATATCTGAGGTGGGGGGCCAGGGTCCTGGGCCAGAGATGAAGATGTGTGGACTGGGAGAGCCTTCTGAATTTCTCTTCTCCCGAACCCTGACCTCCTCTTAAGAGAGGGACAGAGACTGGGTCTACCCTAGTGGTGGGCCTTTTAATTGTGCCAAAAAAAAAAAAAAAAAATGCCAGTAACTTAAACACCTCTCTGTTCTCTTCTGGGAGGGTGGGAGCTGGAAGTGGGAGGGAGGGGATGGGAGGTAAGTGGGGGTGGGTGGCTATGGGGAGCCTGATTCCCTGCCTGAGTAGGGCTAGGGTCAGGAGGGGGAAGGGTGTGTTTCCCACACAGTGCTTCCCTGGGTTAAGGCCTAGAGAGGGTCTCCAAGCACCCCCACCCTGGGAAGATGGAGTAAGGGACTAGCCACCTAAGGGATGACTTCTTGATCTAAATTTCCTCACCCACCCAAACCCCAGGGTGCCTCTCTCTCCCTTTAGCTCAGGGTAGGGGGAATGGAGTGAGCGAGCGAGAGAGCGTGAGACAGACTAAGCAAGACTGAGACACGCGGGCCCCCACTGGCCTCTGAGTGGGAAAGGCAAGTGCGAGAGATAAAGGCCTCCAAGAAAAAAAAAGAAACAAACCAAAGATTTAACCATTAAAAAAACCCACAGACAACTCCGCTACCTTTTTATATGTTGGAAAAAAAAGTGAAAAAAATTAAAAAATTAAAATAAAAAAAATACACAAAAACTCCAAGCCACAGTTCCTTCATGCGGCTTGAACTTTGACCTCAGCAGTCTCCAAAGCAAGATGACGATGACAAAGGCGAAAAAAAAAAGAAAAAAATAATGTATATTTTTAAGTATTTGTTCTTGAGATGTTAGCTCCTTGTTGAACAAACACAAAAAGGAGAGAAAATTCCAGAGAGAAGTGTTGATGGGACGGAGACGACTTTTACTATGTCTGTGACTCCCCCCTTCTTCTCCTCCACCCCTGCTGCCCCTCCCCCAGCCTCTCCTCCAAGCCCGGGGTGGGGGGCTCAGTATTTATTTATTTATGTAAGTGCAGGGTGACTAGAGGCCTCTCTCGACCACTTGTAGAGAGGGCCTTTGGATCATGGTGGGGTGGGCGAGGGGCAAGGAGTTGGGACTAGCAGGGGCCTCTGAGCAACTCCTCTCTGCTCTTTTCTGGCTTCTTATCCCACTGCTACCCCATCACCTCCCAAATCTAAGTCTGCACTAGGCAAGGTGACAACTCCACCTTGTGAGGATCTGATTGGCTTGGTCTTTTCTGGGTGGGTGTCTCTCACCCACTCATTTGAATGACCAAGTTGGAATGGAGATGGGAAGTGGCGGCAAGTAGTGGGCAAGGGAGACCAAGCCGTGGCATACAGAAAGAGTGGGCCCTGGAGGAGACATGCCTTTCCTCCATTCTCACCAAGTTAGCCCCCCTTTGAGTTCTGACTCCTGTGTTGTTGGTAGCCCCTCCCTTCCCATCCTGCAACCCTTCCCTGTCTCTTCTTGTGGTAGCGGGTTAGCGTTTCAGTGTTCTTAACTCCAATCTGCTTGTTCATTGTACAATGTGCTTCTTTTAAGGCCCCATTTTTGTAACTTGAGTGTGTCATTCATCTGACATCAAAAAATTAAAAATTAAAAACTGTACAGAGAAATGCTGCCTGCTCTTGCTGTCTCCTCTGTCCTGTGAAGGGTGGTGGGGCAGTCAGGGTTTGGGGTGTGTATGCATGTGCTGGGGAGAGGATGGCTTTCCTTCTCTTTAAATAGTGAATGTTCAGAAGCAAGGCCTGAGCAGTTTTTTCACTAATCAGAAAATCAAATCTTTAAACTTAGGATGAATTCAAATTCCTGTATTTCAAATCCCATTTCTGGCATTTTACAGATGGGTGAGCTTCCGTGTCCACATCTGTATATGGGCAATACCTGTCCTATGGGGTTGTAAAAATTGAGTATTGCATGTGCTGACGAAAATTCTCTCGTACCTAGGCTTCAATAAACAAGAACTATGAAAAAGCCAGGATGCCAGTGAGTACTTCCCCATTTCCGTCCCTGAGGACTAACAAGACCCTTTAAAAAGAGCTGACTTTGAAGTCATCTGGCAGAACAAGAGCTTCACAGGCCAGGCCATGGGCTGACCCCCAAGATCTCACCACTGAAAGTCAGAGATGGTGTCAGTAACTGGGTTTTTCCACTGCCATCAGGTCTCCTTGTCACTGTTCCATCCATAGGTACTGGAATTCTACAAATTTAATAGTGAGGGATGAGGGGACAGGAGAAGAGACAGAGGGGTTTGATCATCTAATGAGATAGAGTATTAGTACCACATTGTTTTGGCAAAATTGAAAAACAGCACTTCTCCAACTCTCAAGTCTGTAGGGATAAGGGAGTGGAATATTGGGATAGAGGTTCAGAATAGTACCTCAAGGAAGGTCATTTAGTTCAGCCCCCTGCCTGCAGGGTGGTGCAGTCAGAACCAAAAGTTCCTTATCTTACAGGCCATCCTGTGACAAGCAGAAGGCACACTTGAGAGCACGATGGAGCTGAACTAGGCATCCACTTGTAGCCCTGTGAATGTGCCTAAGAGACCCAGACATGCTTACTGAATCCAAATCTCTGGGGATACTGCTTAACACACATTGGCGTTTGAGAACCTTTGCCTACTTAACTTGAACGCCAGCATCCAACAAGTTTGATCAGTGTCACCTTTTTTGGGACAGTGGTTCAACTGAGGACCATGTAAATTTCAGGGGTGGGATAGTAAACTTTTGTTAATAACATGTTTGCACAGGAACATTCATTTTTTCTAGAGTGGGATTCTGAAGTTTTCATTAGAGGCCCTAATAAGGGTGGTAATCCCACCATCAAGGGCTATTCTCTGCTGAAAGCATCATTGTCTTGAGGTCAACCAGTACCCTCAGATTTTCCCAATTCTACCCCTTTTCTTGATTCAGCCTGATTATTGCCTGGTTTTACAAGGATAAATTCTCCAATTTTTCTAAGCACTTATTTGATATGGACTTTCAGGATGTTATAGTTCTTGAGAGAAGTTTGAGAATCAGTCCTTACCTCGGGACTAAGGGGGTCTGGCATACTGAACTAAGATGGCTCAAGTCCTTTCTGCAGGTTAGGTCGTCCAAGGTCAACACATTCTGGTCAAAAACTGTTTAACAGGTAACTGCTCTTCATTAGAAGCTGTAGGATATCAAATGGATGAGTGCTTTTTCTTTTTAAAGATGACTAAAATAAGCATAGTATAGTAAAATCTTCATTCATGCTTGGGAGACCTGGTTTCCAGTCCTGGCTCCACCAGGCCTCCTTCCTCTCTAAGTTTTCATTTTCTCACTCCAGCAACAGGCTAAACCAGTCTGTCTTTGAGCCCCAGAGAGGCTGTGTTTGTGTGGCTTGTGGGCCTCCATTTCCCCTGGCTTCAATGCAGCTTCCCTTTCACCCCTCATTTATTAAGGTTCCAGTTAAGAAATTCTCTCCAACAGAAAGACTGGAGTAATCTTGAGGAGACTTACTTTTCTTGGGGTGTGGCTCTTAAGAGACAAGATTGGCATTACAACTGCGCATTCCCACCAAGTCACACACTTGTATCTCCTTTCTCCACAGTCTGAGCCAAGTACGCAGGAGGCAGCAGAGTACAGTGGAAAGCACGTGGGTGATTCACCCAAATGAAAGCAGGCTTGGATTCAAGCTCTGCCTTATCTGGGTTGAATGACCTTGGGTAAATCACCTCACTGCTTCTGACTGCAAATTTCTTCCCTACAAAATTTTCTCCTAACAGGACCAGTGTGAATTATTCCAGTTAAGTGTAGGGAAGTACTTGAGGCAAACTAGACATGTTTGAGGCGTTTAGATTATCAGTCAGCCACCAAAACCACCCCTTGCTCTATAAGACTGTTGGCTGAGCCTGAGTCCAATCCAGGTGGGTGTTAAGGTACCTCCCCGTAAGAGGATTCCTACCCCCAGGGAAAAGTTACTATCTCTACTTCCACAGCTGGGCCTGGCCCCAGGAGCTACCCACCTCTACTTGTTAAGATCATGCCTTTCCCACACCTGCCTTTGCCCTCAGGGAGCCACAGTGTGAAAACCAGATGGCCCTAGGGGAGATGACTCACCTCAGGCTGTGGTGGTGAGAATCTGAACATTTTCCCAAACGTTCTTGCCAGTTAGAAACAGCTTCCAGTTCTTCTAAGGGGCTGTGGGGGCCTCTAGTGGCTAAAGAGCCACAGTGCCTTCCATGAGCACCGGAGTGAAGCCATGCCTATGGATTCCTTCCTTTTCAGCAAATGTTTACTGAGCTCCTGTTACTTGCCAGGCACCCCGTTCCAGACACTGGGAACAAGCCACAAAAAATGAGCCCCAAGTACCTGGGCTCATAGCTCCCAAATTCCACCCCACACAGCCAGGCCAGACAAAAGCACATAAATGTCCAACTCAGTCTTTATTGACTGCCTCACCTTGGGGCCACCAATGCTAACAGGTGGAAGGTGGGTTTTATGCTTACTTTTCAGGGACCCCAGAGCACCCCTTCA